CCGGCCAGTGGTGGTGCCTGCCGAACTCCTTGTTTCAGTAGCTCCTTTCCGGGTGGCCTTGCTCTCCTGGTAGGCACAGAGAAAGGGTGTGGGAGCTGTAAGAAGAGAAGAAATAAAATTTTGAAATGTCTCTAATATGCTATGGGTTAAAGAGGTCTCCTGGGCAGAGAACTGCTCCAACACATCTGCCCTCTTCTCTCCCCTCCCACCTCAGTTTCCTCCTGGTGATGGATTACTTCGGGATCAACATGGCCTCCCTCAACTCCTGCATCAACCCTGTGGCTCTCTACTTTGTCAGTCGGAAATTCAAGAACTGCTTTCAGGTAGGGTTGGCCCCTTCAGAGCTGCTGGTCCCCGTTTTGCTCATATACTGATCATGTATGGTTGGACTCAATGATCTTAAGGGTCTTTTTTCAACCAATGATTCTATGATATTTCTGCACCTGAATTTTCCCCTTGCTAGGTGCCTCTCTTCCCAGCTTCAGGTTCACTAGAGCTTTCTGCCCTGCTGTGGAGAGGCCTTTGCCAGGACCTGGGACATGCCAAAAAATGTCCCTGTTGTTCTGGATTAGAAGCAGCCCCACAAGCCATTAGAGCAGGGACTGGGGCTACTTTGAACTTTAAGCTCAAGTTATTCAGAGATAATTTTAAGTAGGGAAGCCCTGAGAAGGGAAGGGGATGAGATGGGATGGAAATCACCTCCTAGCTGCTGTGGCAAAGAGAGGAGTTTAGCCCAGCTAAGCATTACCCATATTTTCTGTCCCCAGAGGACAGGAAAACACAACCACAAAAAGTACCCAAGGTTTCAGTATCTTTATTTCCAACCCGCACCAGCCCTGCTGCCAACAGATCTGCAGAACAGCAAAGCTGTGATTCCCAGCCTGGCATGGCGCAGGTCGACCTGCCAACATCAAGAGGGTTTTTTTCCCTCCCCTTTTCCCCTGTAGCCCACGATTGTAACCTCTCTCCCCATTTTTTTGTCTCCTTGCAGTCCTGCCTGTGCTGCTGGTGCCAGCAGCCGGCTCTGAGCATCACCCCGATGGACGAGAAGGGCTCCGTCGGGAAGTGGAAGGCCACTGGGCAGGAGCTCGGGCTGGACCGGAGCAGCTCCCGCCTGAGTAACAAGTACAGCTCCTCCTGAAGCCGCACCACTGGTGGGGCCGGCAGGAGAAGGCACCCTGCTGGGGCGGCAGGACCCCTCCATTGCTCTCCCACAACCGTTCCCTGCCTGGGCCTGAATCGGTTTTTGCCTTTGTGTCATAACCCGCCTGGAAGGAGCTGCAGCATTTCATGAACTCCTGGGACCAGCTCTGAACCATGCCATCCTCAGGTCCGAGTCACCGCCAGAGGAGGAGGAAAGGGGGTTCAGATCCTTGTGAGATTTTTAATTTCCTTGCAGGAAAACCAAGTGACTCATGGCCGTTTGTCTCAGGTGGAAAAGTAGGGTGGGGAGAGGTGTGTGAAAAGAGGAGGAAGGCTGAGATGGGGTCACTCTGGGATGGATGTGGGATGAGGAGGAGAGGACCATGAGTGATAGTTTCCAGCTGGCAAAGCCAAAGAAAAGCTTTGGTGACATCCTCAACACCTCCCTCTGCTGCTGGGACAGTCTGTCTAAGATCCAGGCACCATGTCTGCCTGATAGACCATCAATGGCCTGAAACCTCCTCCTGTTCATGGCAGGGACAGATGGGCAGTGATTTGGCATCAGTGTGTGACCAACCTGACCTGGGCAGCTCTAAAACCCCTCCTCCTCTTTACCAGGACAGGGGAGCCCTGCGTTTTGGTGCTGGTCGTTTGTCATCCCCCTGCCAAAAAGGCTGAGCATCAATGAGCAGCGGGGCTGGACCCGATGTGTCCTGGCCACAGCATCAAGTTCCATGGCATTGGTAAGGGGGACGGAGATGCTGGTCCTGGTGGTCAGACCAAGGTGGAGAAGAAACAGGGAAGATCCGATCTCAGCTGAAAGGGGTGCTGGAGACAACCGAAACATGGCAAAGAGCTTTCACACATTTACTATTTAAAATAATTAATCCTGACTGCTTTTCCAGAGTGTTTTTCTGAAAAATCATGCTTGCATCTCTTGCCAAACTTTAAGAAAATCGATGAGAAAGTTTTAGTTACCAAGTTTTTGATTATTTTTGGATTTTTTCTTCTCTCTCTTACCTCTCTCTCTTTGTTTCTTCCCCTTTTCTTTTGCCATGGAAAAAGTAAAGCAGAGGGAGGGAAAAGGGAGAAAAGACCTGCAAATAAAGCAGAACATTTTCCAGGTGTTGGGTTTTTTTAGCTTAGCTTTGACTGAAGCGCACACGTTTTACAAACAAATCACATTTCTGAAAGACCAATGGGTTTCAACAAAAACAGAAAGACTGAGGGACATGTAGAGCACATTTTCTATAAACTTACCTGGCTAGATTTGACTGGATCCACCCCGCAGCACTGCTGCCATGCTCTGCCCTAGAGCTGGCTGCAATTTGGCTGTGGACAAATGAAGTCAATGGAGAAAATGGGTAAAGACTGAAACATCCCAGTGCAGACATCTTAGGAGAAGGATATTTTTTTAATGATTGTGCTTATAAAAAATAATCTGAATTCTGTGTATTTCTGTTATTTGTCCACATTTACTTCAAACATCACATCTCTGACAGGTGCCAGTTTTCAGCTGGTTTGTTCCAACGCGAACCTGCAACGCCTTTAATTAAAAAAGAAATAACACCCAATGATCTGGAGTTGTCAGAAGATAGCATCCCTTGGGTAGAGTCAGGAGAAGTGGTTTTCTGTAGAAGAAAGATCATTTCAGACCCAGGAAGGATGTAGACATCAGGACATGGGGGAGGGAGATACCGTTCTCTAGAGGACTGCAATACTCTGGGGACACAGGAGCCAGCTAAAATGCACTCAGTGCCTCAGAGAAGGAGGAGAGAGCACCAACCTCTGTTTGTCCTTCTGGTGGAGAAGCCACAAGCAGCAAAAAGGTGAAATAACAAAGAAAAGCAGTAGCTTAGGGGTTTCTCTGTCCTGTTCCTACACAGTGCATGGGAACCAGCACATTTAAATGCACAGCTCCCGCTCATTGCAGTGAGGACTGACGCATCTTGCCGATTTCCCAGTAGCGACCCCTGGTAATGCCGTAAGGAGCAGCGTCCCAAACACCGCAGAGCCCCAAGATGCTCGCCCAAGGACAGGCAGAACAGCCAGGACCTGCTCCTGTCACAAGACAAATACCAATTACAGGCACACAGGGGAATCCTCCCACCTTACTGAGCCTCCTGGGCCCCCAGTGGTTAACATCTCTTTTTACGCTCAGAGAGCAGATTTAATCATATCTGCATTAGCAGCTACACTCAGATCATTTTAGCCTTAAATGGTTCAAAAAGAAGCAGTCTCAGATCTGCACGTTATTAATATTGCAACAAACAGACTGCCATGAATTCAGCCCCGCTCTGGACGCTGCTACTGCTTGCTGCGTGCCTGTTGAACGGCGACTTCGGCCTCCTCTGGTATCGCTTTCCCCTGGTGTTTTCCTCCCAGATGTCTCCTGTTAAAACCTACATCACAAAGTTTGACCAAGTGTAAGAGAAAAAGAGAGCTGAGCTAGACATGGTACCATTTTAAAGCTCTTACATTTTGTTGGCGTCCAAATGGCACTTTCCCAGCCCTAGAAGATCTCCCTTAGGCTACAACCAAGAGCAGGACCAGCGAGTTTCAGCTTGGAGGGCAAGTAACGAACATCAGGAAAGAAGAAAGGCACACACAGCCTGGTTTTAGCTGTTGGGAGTGCAAATGCAAAGGCAGCTCCTTGCTGCCAGCTCTGATTGCCTGTTCACAGAGGAGAGCTGTGAAGTTATGGGCACACACATTAACCACCCGCAGGTTTCAGCACAAAGAAACCCAGCCAGACAAGGTTAGCCAAAATCAACGCCGTAGCAGCTGCCCGCTGTAGATGTGGGGCTGCATTGGCACAGGCAGGATGAATCCATTGCAGCAAACAGAGGCACAAAGGAGCTTTATTACGAAATGCCGGGCTCAGCTGGCTGCTCGGCCCAATGTCTGCACACACAAACCCACTGCCAGCCTGGCAGGGAGACCAGGGCTGTCGATTCGTGTTTGAAAGAATGATTTTTATAGAAGAAATCTGAAATTTTACATCCTCCCTTCTTATTCCGCCATATGTCAATAAAACATGCTGGTGTTTGAAAGGAAAAACATCTCTGGCTGTTTCCTATGAAGCAGCAGGGGGTCTGCAAAGTCTGCTAAATACTTAATTGGGTGTCAGCAGGTTCCTTTGGTAGCTGCAGACCTCCACTGAAGAGACAAGCGGTGTCCCCCCTGTGCAGGGCTAACCCAAAAGGTTCACAATCCTATGCTCTGCACAGAGCAGAAAAAAACCTCCTGCAATTTCATGCCACGTTACACTCAACAAAAGGCTGGTGCTGGGCGAGCCACCAGCCCAACAAGGCCAGGGTTTTGGCATTGCACCCTTTAAACCTGCTCACGAGGAGCAGTCTGGGCTTGCCTTTGTCTGCATTCTGCAGGAGGTTAAAATGGCAAGCGGCTTTGTACTCATCTCACTCCTCAAATGAGCAGAGTATCATTTTATAATGATCTTTTTAAAAAGGATCTGGCCATATCTGTCAAAGTCTAATGCACTGGGGCCAGTAATAGAAAGATTTAAATCAGGAGAGGGTGCTGCCTCTCTCTAAAAGCTTGATTTTACACTTTGCTCCCTGCAGACTCTGAAGCAGAGAAATTCTGCGCACCAGACTACCTGGAAACACTGTGATCTGAAAATCCTGGGTGGGAAATGGCAATGACACTTGGAGAGGGAAAGCAGTAAGATAGAGCAGTGAAAAAGCTGCCCTCCAGCTACCGTTTTCCATACCCACATTGAGCTGAATGCAGTGTCACCTCCGCAGCATCAAACTTCATAAACTTTATTATTAGAGAAAATACAGGTTTGTATCAAAGTGGTCATAAAAAAAAGAAACAACCAAACAGAAGCTCTTGACACAGGGAATTCAACACACAGGGGTTACACACATCCACAAGCACTGCATCCACAAATGCTACTGCATCTCTTCCTCCCTCTGGGCCCTGTATTCCTTCATGCTCCTCTGCAAACAAGAAAAAAGGACAAATGATGTTAACAGCGCATATCTGAGGGACACACACCACAGTGCCACCACCCCGCTGTGCTGTGTGCTGCTGCCCAGTCCCTGGGAAGGCTGAGGGACCTGAGCTCTGCCAGAGCTCCAGGTGCTTTCCAAAGTGACTGAGCTTTACAGCTGCCCCAAGGAAAAGGAAGCCAGGCCACGCCGCAGGTCAGGCAGAGAATGGCTGGAAAAACTGTCTGGTTTTCCACATCAAAAGTGCCAACCACACAGATCTCAGCCCGTTCCTTTCCCCTCTGAGACCAAGAGACAGAAAAGGCCTCTCAGGAATTCTCTCACCTCAAATGTGTTGAGCACGTGTTGGCAAACACCCATCAGGTCGTTCAGCCCCTTCCGAAACGGCTCAACAGCAGGAAGGCCCCCTTTGAGAAAGAAGATGCAGTAGTGAAGTGGGAGGTGGCTTCCAAAGGGGCTGGTAGCTCCCTCCCTCACCTGGCACAAGCAGGGGGAATTCAACAAAAGAAGGGCCCCAGACATGAAAGAAACGCGCACACCCATACCTCTGGTCTGGATCCGGAAGTTGATCTTGCTTTCGGAGGGGTGCGTGATGCAGTAGCCACAGAACTCCACATCAGGGCTGCAGGAGGGGAAAGAGGAGAAGAGAGCAGTGAAATCCAGGCCAATCCACTGCAACTCTCAGGGACGTCAGAAGCTCGGGCTATCCCAGACCTGCTGGGGCTCAGTATGTTTCTAACATGACTGAGGGTCTTAAGGGAGGGAGATGCTGAAGGGAAACTGTGGTTGGTAGAACATTTGTGACCCCAGCAGAAAGAAGAGCCCTTTGCAAGCAGCCTGCTGTCCTTGTCATGGTGATTTAGCAGCAGAACCCACATGACGTTTGCAATGCAACTGTCAGCTGAGATGATGCATTGGCCTCCCTGCAGTAATTCTTGAGGCTTTCCTGGAGATCTTCACAAACCCTCAGTGCTGCCCAACTCGATAAAATCGAGCAACCAGAGTGAAGCCATTTGTATATTTTGATGGGGGCAGCAGGATAATTAGTTCTTGCATCTCCATACAAGCATGAAAGATCATCAATTTGCTTAGTACTGGTTGTTTCTACCCTCTTTTCTGACAGCGCCTGGAGGCCCTAAGTGTGGCTGCTCAGGCCTGTTATGGTCTGTTACAGCTCTCAAGGCCTGACACTAACAACACAGGGAAAAAGCTAATTCTGCGAAGACAGGTAACAGGTAAGGAGTTTTTGGGACCATGTCTGATATTAAAGCTCTAACACAGAGGTAGTTTCTGACCCTTTGCTTTCCTCCAGCAACAGCTGAGATGCAGCTCAGCAAGAAGGCCAAGGGAGGAAACAGAGGCACCCTCAGCGCTGCCAGGCACCACAGAGGCTCCACTTACTTCTTCATGACCATATAGCGGAGGGCATTGCCAAGTGTGTGGTCCTCATCGTGCAACACAAATGTGACACAGTTTCCATCCGTCCCATCTGCCTGGACCTGCCACAAATGTGGAGAGAACAGATGCTGTAAGGCTCCCCGAGGTAATGAACACCAAAATTACAGACCTTGGAGAAACCTCTGCCGGGTTATTGAGGTCCCTGAGCATCCTTCCTCTTCACAGAAGAGAAGCCCAAAGAAAGCTGTGGACCCATGGTGAAAAGAAGCTGGGAGTGACTGGTCAGGCTGGTGTGATTTATCAGCTAAAGCATCCTGAGAAGACTGGCTTGGGATCCCCTCCAAAATGAATTAATTGCTGGGCTGTCAGAGGGCTGCCGAGCCTCTGCCCTTTCCCCAGGCTCAGCATAGTTGCTGTGGAGCCTGATGGGCCCAGACAGCCCCCAGCCGCTTCCCCTCTCCGCTGCAGAGAGAGGTTGCAAGGTTAAGTGCAGAGCCAGGCTAAGAGGAGCACTGATCTCTTCACATCCTGTCCGTGGCCAAATCCTCAACCGCTCCAGAAGTTTTATGACCCCTCGGGCAGTAACACCCCCAGCAGTCCCGTTCCTCCCACTGCAGAGCATGGGGAATTGACTCAGAGGTTCAGAAAGGAAACAAAGACTGATTGCTGCACAGGAAAGGATCTCCCCGACCTGCAGCACAATCACATCAACAACAGGAACCGATAGGGTCTCGCATGCCTTCCAGCACCTCACAACCCACAACAAAAGTGGTGAGCTTTGCTGGTGATTGAAAGAAGGCTGTGAGTAGCAAAAACACCTTTCCTTGGTGTAAAACGAAAACGCGTTAAATGATTTGACGGAGGTCACTGGGGCAGTCAGTGGCACGGATGAGACACGCTGACTGCTCTCCTGCTTGCCAGCCCCAGCACCCTCCTCCCTGTTCCCAGAAGCAGCTACAGCCTCAGGCTCTCCCCCTATTCCAGTAAACAAACCAGCTTTCACTCAGATCCACCCTCACTGTCACGATTTATCCCGACACTCCCACCCCTAC